ATATTTTGTTTTCTTTTTAATTTATACACATTAAATATTACATATATGTATGTAATAAAATGTGTATTTCCATTACAGGTTTAGGTCTTAAATTTCATATAAGGTGGTATTAAAAAGGTCTTAAAAAGTCTTAAATTTAACTTGTTCAAGTCTGCAGAAACCCTGATCTCAGTGATACTAAAATAAGTATTCAACACATGGGATGCAAACAGAGCTTTAATTGCAAATCTTTAATGTGATATTCCAGTTTAATTTGCAACTTTAGATGGAAGCATAACAACTGAATATAAAGCACTTTTTTCATTATTCATAGTTCATTGATATTCATTATTCATAGATAGTTATAGTGTATAATTTGGAGTTTTTGTAAGACACCATTGACTACAAACATATTTTATTGGAATATCCTGTTGTTTTTAATGATATTATGCAATGACTTTTTCTGCTTATATGGAATGAAATAAATCCAGCCCAGTTGTTCAAATGTTCGTAACTGAAGAATGAGCAGTTTGTATGTTGTTCTTCATTGGTAATCGTGTGGTTTTGATCGTCCAGGTGAGAATGCAGAGAAGCTGCTGCAGTTCAAGCGCTGGTTCTGGTCCATCGTTGAGAAGATGAGCATGACAGAGCGCCAGGACCTGGTAAAAACGTCTCCTTTTTCCTCTACTTAATATTAGGGCTGGGACAATAAATCGATGCATCGTGAATCGAGCAATTGTTCTGCATCGATTCTGAGATTATTGGAATGCATTGTGATTCTCTCTTGAATCGATTCTGAGCTTAGTTTTGAACAGCAGATGGCAATGCATGCTTTAGAAACAGTCGTACTCTGCTTACTTCCAGTTCCTTACACACACCACTTGAACGCAAAATAATCATTCATAAAATTCGAAAAGGTTGAACTGAATTACAAGGGTGTTCATAGTGGGCTGTGTTTACATTAATCTCACTCATAAAAGCATAAAAGCCAAGGTGCACGTACATTTAACCACTTACATGACTTCTTCGTGAGCTTTTGAGTGTGCGATTAAAAACTAGCCTAGAGCGCCATCTGCTGTTAAAAACTAAGCTCAGAATCGATTCCAGAGAGAATCGTGATGCATTCCAAAAATCCATGAATACATCGATTTATTGTCCCAGCCCTACTTGATATGAATTCATGTAAACCTAGGGCTGCACGATTAATCGAATGCAATTGTCATGCGTGTCTTGTCAGTAAAGCCGGTTCTGTGATTAGTAGTAAATCTTCATCGCCTGCTTTCAGATCGAGCAGCATTTACTACACAGAGCCGTAGTTCTTTGACAAGCTACGCAAGAAAAATCGCAGACGATATAATCGCTCGATTATGAAATCGGAAAAATCGGTCGCAATAATGACAGCTGTTTGCGTAGCTTCTCAGTGAACTACGGCTCTGTGTAGTAAATGCTGCTCCACCTGAAAGCATGTGAAAATACCACATTTAATAACATGTTTTTACTCCAAACTCACTTCATAACATCAGTCGAGTGTTTGAAATAAATCCTTCTGTGAGATGATGGCTTCTTACACCGAATAAGGCACGCAACATATTTCATAGTATCTAAGCAGTGATAAAGGCATTACATTATAAATATACTTTATTTTAATGAAAATTATAATAATAAGAACTCAGATAAACCGTATATTGCCGTAGTCGTCTGTTTATTAGTCACGTTTGGATGCGGTTTGGATGCAAACAATGGATTATTTACCAAGAGATGGATGTATGGACTCATTTCGATAAAACAATTCTGGTAAGCATTGCTGAGCATTTATTTTTTAGTGTTTTACTAGCGCAGGCGCTTATAAGCTTATTAATGAACTTGCAAAAGTTCACCTCATGTGCGAAACGTAGGTTAAAAATAAACGACTGATATCTTTTTCATCTTTGATCTAAGTATTGTTGTGTGGGTCTAGAGCAGTGGTTCTCAACCCGTGGTCCGTCATGAATTCAAATGCGGCCAATGCTGAACATAATAATAATAATAAAAAATAAAAAAACTTTCAGTTTTACAATTGATTTGAGTTTTTACATTAATTTAAAAATGTACTAAACAAATATAAGCTATAATGTTTTTGATATGTAAAATAATTTTGTTCATATATTATTTTCAGATATGAGCAGATCTATAGGCTACTCACGTAATTAACGTTACGCATTTAACAAACACTTACAAGCGCGCACTTTGGCAGAATTCAATTCAAATAGTCATCAGCAGCCATTAGTTTGGTCAAATTGAGCATCATAATGGACAAATTTTTTTTTAAAGGAGAAAAACAAAATGTGGAAAATGCCAGGAACACATAGGCTGCGTCCGAAATGGCATACTTCCCTACTATATAGTAGGCAAAAAAGCAGTAGGCGAGCGAATAAGTATTTTTGAATCCTCGGTGAAAGTGATTTTGTGCCTCTTTGGGATGAATAATAAAGCGACGTTCACTTGCAACGCAAGTTCACTTCACGCAAGCTTCTAGAGGCACATAAGTCTGAAGTAATGAATTTAGGTAAATGGGTGCAGAGCCAGTGGTGGTTTTGTAGGCAAACATTAATGCCTTGAATTTAATGCGAGCAGCTGCTGGTAGCCAGTGCAAATTGATGAACAGAGGTGTGACGTACGTTCTTTTCGGCTCATTAAAGATTCATCTTGCTGCCTGCGTTCTGGATTAATTGTAGAGGTTTGATAGAAGTGGCTGGAAGACCTGCCAAGAGAGCATTGCAATAGTCCAGCCTGGACAGAACAAGAGCTTGAACAAGGAGTTGTGTTGCATGTTCTGAAAGAAAGGGCCGGGGCCTGGTTGCATGAAAGCCCTTATGCTAAGAAATCCCTTGGTTATAAGATTAAGGGAGCCCTTAGTGAAACTTGGGTTGCAAGAAAAAAAAACTAAGGGTCAACTTAAGGAACCTTAAGGCTGCCAATAAGTATTCCCCTTAATTATTTAAGTGTTCCCTTTAGTGTTGCTACAAAGTCCTTAGTAACCATTTCACCTTATTAAATTTAAGGGACCAAAAGAGCTCCCTTAAGTCATCTTAAACTCAGTATCTGCAGGGTTTTTAAACTCAAATGTAAGACTTAAGACATTTAAGACCTGCACAAATAAAATATCATATGAGCGCAGTAGGACAATGACTATGGTAACATATTAAACTGTAAAAAGCATGACTTACAGGTTTTCACAAAACAAAAGGTTTTACATAAATTTTTAAGTAAATAGACGAGTTGTATCAATTATGACATCAATTATTACATGAATTAAATAACAATATAAATATAATTAGTCTTAATTGTTTAGATTTTTATAATGCATTATCAAAGCAATGGGTTAATTTTCACATTTGGTCAATTTTCCATCATTGGTCAGCAGGAGGCGCTTTCACTGCAGAAACACAGCGGTTTCCTCGGTAACGACTGTACACAAAGCAGCGCTCATGTTTATTTAATGTTTGTCTGTTTTAGTTGGTTAGGTTTGTATTTCATTATGTTCTGTTTATTGTCATAGATATGTGTACATATCTGTTTATTGTGAGATGTAGAAACTATAATAACCGCGGCGCCCATTGCCGTATGTTGCCAGAAACTACCGTGAAACGCTTAGTATAAACACTTAGGTAAGAGTGACAGGTAAGACATTTGTTGCAATGCTCCTAAAGAAATCCCTTACCTCAGGGATTTTTTCCCCCCCTCAGGGATACCCCTAAGTCAAATTATTTAAGGACTTTCATGCAACCGGGCCCAGATCTTCTTGATGTTGAATAAAGCAAATCTGCAGGACTGTAAGTGTCTAAGTGCAATGTGGTCTAAGTCAGCTGATCATCAATCATAACTCAATTTCATTTCGATTTATCGTGCAGCCCTGCTTAAACCTGTGCTAGATGTTAAAAATGTTGAACTTAACATATTAATAAATGCTGTATAAAGTTGTTCATGTTAACTAATATAGTCAACAAATTAAACCTTATTGTAAAGTGTTTACAATACTTCTATATATACATTTGTAACAGTGTATGGAATGTTCCACTGTTTTGAAAGGCTTTTAATTTTAATTGTTTTTTAATTTCTTTTTTAAATAAAAGTCCCACTTTCATTATGGCAATGTTGGAAAAACCATACTTGCAAAATACACACTAAGTGTATTATTTAAAAACAAAGTTACATGAAGCAATGCTTTATGCTGTGAAAAACTTGCATTTTACACTGTCTGGTCATTTAGTCATAAGATACTGTGCATTTAATTCACAAGTAGGAAATTAAAGCAGTTCTTTTGCATTAATACACATGCAGTGCATAGAAAACCTATTTACTACAGAAATATATGCCATTTCAAATACAGACTTGTATACATTACCACTTTTAGTAGTATTGAATATCCAGGTGACCTACTGTTTTTGAACACTATTGTATGTGCTGTACTAAAATGCAATGCAATGACTATTTATAGTGTGCACAATGACTAGGCCACCAAGTGCAATGCAAAATTTATTTGAAAATGCAAAGTAGCAGTGTTGTTCAAGATAATTAAATGCTATTTGCTAAATATGCAACATAGTTTACTATTATTACTAACTAGTTTGAAACATTTGTTGCACATTTAAATACTGCTTTAAAAGCTATGGAGTAAAACAGATGGTCGTTTATGAATGGGATGTTTTGTCAGCTGAGCAAGCAAATTGCATCAACCGTCAAGAGAAAACTTGGTAACACTATTTTAAGGTGTGCTCGTTACATGTACTTACTGTTATAATAACAATAAATGATGCATAATTACATGCAAGTAACCCTAAGCCAAACCCTAAACCTAACCGTATAGTAAGTACATGTAATTAATATTACCCAGTACTTAAAGGTATAATTACACTAACAAGGACACCTTAAAATAAAGTGTAACCGAAATCTTCACTTAATTAAAGCTGGTGTCATTTTATCAAATGAAGCCACCAGCTGACTCAAGACAACAATTACCATAAATTCTTATTTTCTAATTGAAATATTAGTAATACTTTGTAATAAGATCTTGCTTAACATTAAAGCATAAATATGATCAAATAAGTATTTTTTTACAGCATAAACTTTTTTAAAATACAGTATTTCAATAAAAATACAATTGTTAATATTATTACACTGAATTGATGACAGATCTAACTATTGATTTTAAAATACACAGTATTAGTAAATGTTGAAATAAAGATCAATCAATGCTGTAGAAATAGTGTTTATGTTAACTAATGTAGTCTACTAATAAACTCGTTTAACAAATTAATTGCAACTATAGCCGTCTTCAAATTCAGAAAAAAAGGTCCCCCCCATTATTAACAATGTTTCTGCATGCATCTTTCTACAATCAAACAAAGAAATAAAACGGCTGGTGTTCTGCTTGTCTTTGACTATAAAAATAAAGCCATCTTTATACTGGCATCAAAGCACGCTTCTTACAAAAGAACGAACTGCCTTGACAACATCAACTTTCAAGCAAGTTGCATCGTTTGTCTGGGATCCAATAAGAACGAGAACAAGCAGAAGCTGCTGTGCCGTCATGATTAAACACAAAGATTGGATGAAAAGCTGCACGATACAGTATTTAAAAGCAGAGCGATGGCTAGCGGCCTCCAGACTTGCGTCCGGCCCAGGATCTGGAGCGCGAGCGGGACGGCGAGCGGGAGGCCGAGCGGACGCGGGGCTCTTCCTCACGGGATCCGGTCTGCGCCTGCAGCTCTTCCGCCGGAGGACTGGCCGATCTGGACCGGGAGCGAGAGCGCCGGCTCTTGGACTTGTATTTGGAGTCGCGTGACGGAGAACGCGAGGCTGATCGGTGGCGTCTGCGGCCGTGATCACGTGACCTGTGTCTGAGCACATAACATTTGATTTACTGATTGTTTCCAATGTGAAAAATCATCTGTGCTGCTGAGCTTAATGCATTATTTTAATCTGAGTGCAATAAACTAGGGATGCACCATATTAGATTTTTGCCGATATCTATGGAAGCCCGTTTTCGCCACTGAATAAAAAACAAAAAAGGTAATTGTGACTTTTTATCTCACAATTCTGACTTTTTATTGCGAGGTATAAAATCAGAATTGCAAGATAAAAAGTCGCAATTACCTTGTTTTATTTTTTATTTAGTGGCGGAAACGGGCTTCCATAGATATCCCATATGCTAGCGGTGGGCAATATGGAAAAAATATCATATCAAGATTTTTTTTAGAAATATCACGATTCACGATTTTATCACGATTCTCGATTTTATCACGAAGTTGTCTGAGCAGATCAACCAAACTAATGTCCCTATTATAAAGACTAACACTTTCAAGGTAACAAAAAAGAAAAGAAAAAACGATGGCAGATATTTAGGCCAAAGTGGGCGAAGTTAAAAATCTGTCATTATTTTAACTTTGTTAATAAAAAATAAGAACAAAGATACACATTACAACTACACATAATATACAAATAAAACAAACAGTGCTTTATTTTCAGGAATACAGGTTTGGGACAACATGTGAGGGAGTAAATGATGACAGAAATAAAATTTTAGGGTGAACTATTCCTTTAATGACAGTCGGCTGCATGTTTAGTAGCTACTGTCCCTTTAAGAGCTGCACGCATCCATTTCTCTCTCAACTGTTTACTTTCATTTGAGACATAACTAACTGTGTTTATATGTAAACCTTGTGTCCTTTTGACAGCAGGGTCACATATATATTTTCCTTTGTTTTGAAACAACACCAAGTCTCTCCTGTGCAGAAATTATAAATAAATTATTTTTAATCTTGGTTAGTTTTGAGCAAAAACGTGTTTGTTAGAAGTAATAAACTTTATTAAAATGAGAGTACATTGAAAGCTTTAAAAATAACTGTAATAAAATCAACCTCTGCTGGGCTTTTTTTTTCTGAGACAGATGCAGTTGAAACCTTAACATTTTATTTGTGGATTGAACATTAATAGATGGCCTAAAGCAGTGGTCACCAACCTTTTTAGGCCCAAGATCCCTGACCTCGGCCTTTATGAAAAGTGATACATTAATATAACCCCAGAAATGTAATGCATTTTTGTACTTATTTTACTGTTTTTTTCGGGATGTACTGGCACAGTGATAAAGATCGGGTTGGCGACCACTGGTTTAAAGCAAAAGAGCTGTAAAAATTCTAAAAATCTTTATATTTAAGTAAACTTTTTCCATTTGAAAAAAATATATTACATATTACTCAAATCTCTATATATTAAATTATTTAATTTACAATTAAACTGTGAATTTCACCTGTCATTCTCCCGACTTCTGCTCCTCCGGTGTCTGCCGTGCGACCGAGAGCTGTTCAAAAACATGCAATACATCAGCAAAGTGAAACAAACAGTGGTTTAAAAAGCAATGTTTTGGGGATGGTGGGGTAACGTGTCTACCACTACATAAAAAAATGAAGTTCAATAAAAATGGTTTGGAAAAAAAAAAAGTTTGGTTTATAAAGTTTAAAATAAAAATGTCATATATACATTTTATTTATAATTAAATAATAATAATAATTGTAAAACAAAACTTTTTAAAAGTTTTTTTTAAATGTAAAAAAAAAAAACTTTAATCAGGATGGTTTATGGATATGTTAAACATGCAAATGTAAAAAGAATTAAGCAGTAAAATAACTGATAGTGAATTTTTTTTTCAAATTAATATATATACATTAATATTATATATTAAGGATGATATTGGATTTAACCGATATGCCGATATTTTTCAACTCATTTTGGCCGATAGCCGATATATTTCCTTTTGTTTAGAAACAACACTAAGTCTCTCCTGTGCAGAAATTATAAGCAAATTATTTTTAATTTTGGTTAGTTTTTAACAAGAAC